CCCCCCCACCCACCCATGTTTAGAAAGAATGGTACCCAAAGGAAGCATATACAGTGAGAACAAAACAGGGGCCAGAATGGAGCCCTGAAGGACTTCATAATCCAAAACAGAAGATGAAAACCCATCAAGACAAACAGAAAAAGTTCTATCATTCAGGTAGGACTTAAACCAATTAAGAGCACAACCTTCAATGCCCACACATTTAAGTCTAAGAGTAAGAGTAGCACAGAATCCCCATCAGAATCAACAGTCAACAAAATATAATTAAAAACTTTAAATAAAGCACACTCAGTACTGTGATATTTTCTAAACCCGGATTGGAATTCTTCAAAAACACTATTTAGCTCCAGAAAACTCTGCAATTGTTCCAAAACAACTTTCTCTAATATTTGAGAAATAAAAGAAGTTATAGGTCTATAATTGGAGTGGATGGTTGGGTCAACATTTTTTTTTTTAAAGCAAGGGTTTAACGGTTGCATGTTTTAGGTATTTAGGAACAACACCTGTGAGAAGGGACTTACTTATTATAGCTGAAATGCTAGGCCCAACAACATCAAAGACCTGTAGCAAAAAACATGTCGGAATAATGTCATGCAGACATGTGGTAGGTTTAAGCTGCTTAATAATATCTTGAATGGAATTGAAAGTAACAGTAATGTAAAAGTGACTATAATGTCAGAGAAGTACTGAGATTTTGTAACTTTAACTGATTTTTGGTATCTAATGAGTGACTCGCGTAATATTTCAAAAGACATTTGTAATTAGTCTTTTTTCCATTTTCGTTCAGCTCTAAGACAACCATGTCTAAGTACAAGTGTGGTGTTGGTTAACCAAAGTTCAGCTCTTTTTCTCTTAGTGGAGCCACAGAATTCATTATGTCATTACTGATGGAAATGAACAACATATGTTCATCAACATGAAACAAATTTGAAAGGGACAAGCCTCCTTGAAAAGAGCAGAGAAATCATCACTAGAAGATGGACTAAAAGTCTCTGAATCTGCTGTGAAACCTCGTAGTTTTTGAAACTTGATTTGGCAGAGAGCAGATAAATGTAACAGACATATGATCAGAAAAACTCAAATCAAGGCTTTAGAGTTCCAAAAAAAAAAAAAAAAACACCAGTACAAAATGAGTCAATCAGATTAGTAAAATCCTTGGCAAGGAGTTTAACTCACAACATATGTGAATATTAATGTCCCCTACAATCAAAATCCAATCATACCGAAGAACAGTGTAAGAAGTTTGCAAACTCATTTAAAAAAAAATCCTTATTAGGATTTGGAGGGCGATAGACCACAGCGATGGCTAACTGAGCCATATTTAGCTAAAACAAGAGAACTTCAAAACCCGAGAACAATTCAGTCTTTAAAGATTGGCAACAAAAACTGCTTTTAAAAACAGATGCAAGCCCACCGCCCCTGCCATAGAATAGGGCAGTTCAGAAAAGAACAATCTGAGGGCACAAGTTCAGAAAAGGGGCTTGTATCCCCCATACTCGACCAAGTCTCAGTCACAAAAGAAAATCCAATTTGCTTGAGGTGATGAAAAAAAAGTCTTATTCACAAGAGATTTAGATTTTACCAGAGCCATCCTGACACACACTGGATTGCAAGGATTCACACCTCCGTGACGAAGACGTTGGTGTCCGACAGCGAGAAGGGATTAAAAACTTATCCTGGGGCACAGGTAAAATCCATTGATAAGCCACCTCAAGTGAGCGCTGCACAACAAATTGACCACATCCAGGCTAGTATTACTGTTTTTCACTGTATTTTTGATCAAATGAATTCAGCCGTGGTGAGCATAAGAGACTTCGAAAACATTAAAATCTTACTGATCCCAACTTTTGAATGGTTCCTGTTTTAGTGTGTTGTACCATAATGGTCGTGATTTGTATTTGAACTTTGGTGTGACAAATGGATATCTTGGATATCCTTCATCAGCAGAGAAAAAATTAATTAAATAAGGGTTAAGAAGTTTTATCCTTCAGATAACTTCTCAGTGTATTTTGGTAGGGTGCTCCAGGAAGAAAAGGCCGACCAGGATTGCCGGTAATGTAGCATGAAATATATACACAGAAATCTGTTCTGTTCATTTCTGTTCTAGTCTACTTTGTTGCATTTTAATTTAATCTATTTCATTCTTTTCTAATATTGTCTGTTCTAATCTACTCTTAATTCTAACATATACTAATGAATAAAAATAATGATTTTATTGTTTATTATATTCAATCTGTTCTGTTCTTTTCTAATTAATTCATTTCAATTCTAATATACTATTCAAATATAAATTCTATTATTATTATTATTGTTGTTGTTGTAAGTGTCATTTATTATATTGTGTAATCTATTCTGTTCTGCTGTAGTAATGTGGTAATGGTAAATGTGTGTATCTGTATAGGGTGCATCTTCAAATGAAAAAGGAGAAGCTGGACAGCCAGGGCCTCCTGGTTACCCTGGACAAGTGGTGAGAACTGGAAATGTCACCTTTATTTAAAAAGAAACACGCAGATAAGAGATTTCTAATGTTAAGGCTGGAATACACTACACATCATTTGTCCTGATTTCCCCCAGATTTACAGTCTGGAGAAGTTGATGCTAGTTGCCGACAGTCAGAGCCAGACTGCAGATTTGAGTTGACAGATTCCATAGAAAATCATGTAGTGTATGATGGTCACAGACTCCTATTTTTTTTAGCTACAGACTATGATTCCATCCATTCGAGGATATCAAACTTGTTTAACATTTTCTGCCGATTTTAGAACACACGTTGTTTTCATTTGTCACATGTCTCTTAGCAACAAGGCGCATGCTTCTGTGTGAGTTTGTAGTGGTCGGAATGAATTTAAAGTTTAGTGTATGATGCCCAGTTTTTCCTTGTGACTAAAGTTGGTAAGTGTATGATGTCTAGCGTTTTAAAATCTGTTCAGATTTTAAAAGTCATATGAACTGTTATACCTCCCTGATCTTTTTTTTTTGTCTGTTCAGGGACAACCAGGCCCAAAAGGGTTTCAGGGAGACAGTGGTCCTCCAGGTGTACCTGGGATTCAGGTGTGTATTCAGTTGTTTAAGCTAGTTGCATGTTCATGTTTTAGCCGTAGAGTACAAAACATATGATATAGAGCACAGAGAGAACAGTACAATGACTGTTGAGAGAACCATGTGTGTTTTCATAGGGTACCTTTGGCTCACCTGGACCTGAAGGTTCAAAGGGAGGTCGAGGACACAGAGGGCCAAGGGTATGTAAGACTGATGCATTCAAGTTTTCTTCTTCCTTACTTCTGTCACTTTTCCTGATTCTGTGAAAAATGTATTTCTTAAAACACAAATAGCCAGTAATTCGAGCTAACCTGAATGAATGTAATGATGAAAAAACATAACCTTTCTGAGTGGTAACAGTTCACTTCAGATCTGAATACCAAAAACATTACAGGGCTGACTGGCTTTTATTTAGTCAAATTAAAAGAAAGATTCACTCGAAAATGAAAATTTGCTGAAAATTTGCTGAAAATTTACTCAAGCTCATCAGACCTCTATGGTGAATGGGTGCCGTCAGAATGAGAGTCCAAACAGCTGATAAAAACAACACAATAATCCACAAGTTTATAAACTTGTGGATTATTGTGATGCTTTTATCAGCTGTTTGGACTCTCATTCTGACGGCACCCATTCACTGCAGAGGATCTGAAAAAACAAACTCGGATTGGATGGAGAGAGAGTAAATTTTGCAGCAAATTTTTATTTTTGAATGAACTATTCCTTTAATACCTGGTTGGTCTTCAGTACTGTATGTTATGTAATAGTGCGGCAGCTGTATGTTGTACATCAATTCTATGCTCCTCTTTTCACACTGTGCCTGCTTGTGTTTAGGGTCCACCTGGTGACTCAGGACCCAAGGGAACGCTGGGACCAGAGGGATTCAAAGCGCCTCCAGTCAGTTGTTGCATTTGTGCATGGTTTACTTCAAAATGTTTAAATAATTTAAACCATATTAAATACACTAGTCAACATTTGAAGTGGATCAAAACCTTTCATCAAAGTTGTCCTAAAACCTAAAACCAAAATGCGTTCTTGTTTTAGGACAACTTTGATGAACTTTTTTGATCCACTTCAAATGTTGACTACTAGTTTTGTGTGTCTTTCCAGTTTAATGCATGACTTTATGTACACAGGGACAAGATGGAAGAGACGGGTATGGACTTTCTGGGCCTAAAGGACACAAGGTACCTGTGCCATACACAAATTTACTGAGAAATTCTAAGAGAAATTGCATCTGAACATCTGCTATTTCTGTTTCACAAATCATATATTATAAAAGGTTTTAATTTTTCTATTTATTGTATTTTTTGTGGGATATAAGTTATATAAGTATAATCTGAAACATGCTATGATGACTTATACTCCAAAGCGAGTGCAATTAACATCGAGCACACAAAACATGAGCAAAGCGCAAACATTCTTTTCTGGAAAATACAGTGACTTGTTTTCTCTCACTTGAGTACATTTATGGAGATTCAACTAACAGAATCAAATTGCTTTTAGGGAAACATTGGATACTTTGGCCTCCCTGGTTTGCAGGTGTGTTAAAGCTAGTTAAACATCTGTTGCAGCTCATCATTATGTGTTTTATGTAATTGTGTAAATGTTAATAATAGTAATTTTAAACTAATATAACATTATGTAACATTATTAATATCGTGGAACACACAACACTAGTATACATTATTTATTTAACACACATACTTATTTACATTTCAAATTTGCACATATCATACCTGTACATACAAAATTGTCTATATTATATATTGTGTTTTTGCCTTTTGTACATTGTCTATTTTGTATATTTTTATGTTATTCTTTTTATTATCTGTGTCCTGTCTTGTCATGGTCATTCTGTTGCACTGTGGAGCTTCTGTCACTAAAACAAATTCCTCGTATGTGTAAACATACCTGGCAATAAAGCTCATTCTGATTCTGATTCTGATTAATATCAGTGATTGTAATAATAGGGTGAGGATGGCACCAAAGGATCCAGTGGAAGTAAAGGACATACAGGTTATCGAGGAAAACCGGTACGCTTTCATCTGATTTACTTTTTTGCTTATTTATTAACCTTCTGAAAAGTTAATGTCCAACAGAACAATCATGTTTTTAAATGACATTAATTTCCTTAACATCATAGAGACAGTTCTATATGTTTGGAGGAAGTTATTATTACAGTTATGTTGTATTATGCATTGACGTGATCAGGGAAACACTGGTCGTCTGGGTCCTCCAGGTGCTCCAGGAGAGAACGGGATGGACGGACACAGGGTCAGTCATTTGCAAAACTTTCTTACAAATTTAAGCAAATAATTATATTAGGGTTGTTGAAAAAAATTATGCACTAAAATTGATGCATTTAGTGCACCCCTCCCACCCAGACCTCTGTGTCATCTTACACTGCATGCAGTTGCTGACGAGCATGATGCAGGATGACGACTGACTGTGTGATGTAGCCTATGAGAATGCAGTTATATGAAAAAAAAAACTTTAATACCCATTTTTATCATTATTTAAGCAATGTTGAATCGAAATATTTCTTTCTGAAGCTACTCTTTTGTAATGTCTATTCAATGCTTTTCTCATCTAACACAATAATGACTTTAAATGATCTTTTGTGGCGTAATTGCTCAGCCAAAATTGATGTGTAACTAATACAATTGATTAATTGGCACATCATGTAATTGATTTGATTAAAAATTGTGATTGCTTTTATTTATTTGTAATGTTTATACGTCACAAAACCTTGTCAGTTTAAGCAAATGTAAATAAGGTACAAAGATGTTTCTGTTTTCTTTCTTTCCTTCTCTCTTTAATTGTTTAGGTATTTATTAAATGGTTTATTTAATTTTATTTTATTTTTAGGGTGAAAAAGGACCTCCTGGAATCAGTTCAATGCCTGTAGGTTGATATTACTATGCGTTATCTTTACATTACTCATCAGTTCCAAAAGTTTGATTCTTTTCCCTCTGTCCTTCATTTCTGCTTCTGAACGTCAAGGAATGTGACCTGGTCAAATACATCCGCAAAAACTGTCGTAAGTTCAGAGCGCCTAATATCCAAATAATGACAGGCAAAATGACTGCTAGTGATTTCTAGTCATTATCTTAGTCATTAACATTATCTTATTACATTTTTTTTTATTCTTCTCTTCATGATCCCTTATATGTGTATTTTCCTTTTTAAACCTTGAAATCATTTGGAATGCATATAAATGTTATCTTTTATTTTGTTTCCACAGCTTGTTGCTCCGGTATGCTTTGCCTTATACTTTAAAATTTCAGTGCCTCATTTATTAGTAACTTTTTGTGAATAGTGAATTTTATTATTGTGTTTTTTCTTTTCCAAAATGCTTTTAGATAATGGTAGCCGGTGTCCAGTTTACCCCACAGACCTGGTGATAGCATTGGACATGTCTGAGGGTGTGACTCCTCAGGTGTTCGAGCGAATGCATTCTGCTGCTCTGTCCTTACTGGAAGACATTTCCTTTGCTGAAACAAATTGTCCATGTGGAGCGCGAGTGTCTGTGATCTCCTACAGCAGCAAGACCAGGAACCTGATCCGTTTCGCAGACCACCTTAAGAAGACGGCCCTTCTGGAAGCTGTAAAAGCAGTCGCTCTAGAAAGAACCACAAAAACCAGAGACATCGGACAAGCCATGAGCTTCGTGGCCCGGAACGTCTTCAAACGTGTCCGAAAGGGCAGGCTTATGAGGAAAGTGGCCGTGTTCTTCACAAACGGGCCATCGAGGGATGAATCCAGCCTTGCAACAGCCATGCTGGAGTTCAAGGCTGCAGACATTGGCCTCGGGGTGATCGCCTTAAATCCTGCTGATGATGTGAGCCGAGCAATGCAGGTAGATAAGAAAACAATCAGATTTGCATATGCAAAAAATGCATGTCACCTACATTTATATTTATTTATATTACTCCACAGTAATAAACAGGCATGAAAATAACAGCGTTAATTTGACAAAGTTCTTAAAAATACAATTTCAGCTGTAAAGTAGCACAAAACAGACAATAGTGTCATTATTCAACTCAGTTTGGTTTCATGTGGATTTAGTTAGGTTCAATAACAGTATCAGTGCTGCAAAGTTCATCAGTTAAGAAAAACTCAGTTCAACCACAAAGCTACAGTGCCCAGGAGCTAACATGTTCGGTTCACTTAGTTTTGTCGTGGCCACGACATAATAACTCGTGGGAACATGATAATATGTCGTGGCCACGAGATATTAATTTGAGGGAACATCATATTAACTCGTGGGAACGTGATATTAGTATGTCATGGCCACAAGATAATTTTGTCGAGGTAACGTCATCCTTATGACTTCTTATGTTGAGGGAACGACATATTTTTCTCGTGGCCATGAGTTTAATGCATAAACAAACCTGTGCGACCATAGCAACTCGGGATTATCAAAAATGGATAAAACATTTTTATTAACATCAAACATTTAATTTAATATTTGTATATTATTATTATTACATTAACTTATTAGGGCTATATTTTTATATTTATTGTTATATATGCTTATTTCCCCTTTCAATTTGTGTATCGCTTTACCTAGTTAACGTTTTGTATAATTATGCTAGCATTTGCTAGCCGACCATATATTTTGCAAATAAACGCCTGACAATTATGCCAATCAAGTTTTGACTTTATGATTGTATTTATGCCCATGTGTGATGATAAATGAGCGTGTTGTGTTTTCATTTACAAATGAAACTACGTGAATGATTAATTCCTCAATGAAACACTATAGTATTTATAATTATGGTCTATTAATTAGCCGAAATAAAATGAAATATATGTTAAATTTAAACTGCATTCTAGCAAAAATTAGAGTCAGCATAATTAAAGCTTTATTGGCATGTCGAGGTAGGATGGATAAAAATGTTTTTATATTTTCTATTATGCACTTTATGTAACATTTATTCATGATAAACTTCATTTGAACGCTGACTATCGCACGTAAAAACAGTCCGGTAGCCAAGACCTATGGTTAATATAATAATTTAATAATGGAATAATTTCTATAATAAATAATATAATTTCTTAATTCAAAATAAAATATTAATGAATCCCTCTCTGATAATCCCGGGTTGCTATGGTAACGCAGGTTTGTTTACGCATTAAACTCGTGGCATAGCATCTCGAGGCCACGACGTCGTTATCTCCACAAAATGATCTCGTGGCCACGACATAATATCACGTTCCCACAAGTTAATATGATGTTCCCTCAAATTAATATCTCTTGGCCACAACATATTATCACGTTCCCACGAGTTATTATGTCATGGCCACGACAAAATTAAGTGAACCGAACATGTAAGCTCCCGGGCACCGTACAAAGCAGCTCTATAGTGGATAATAGTGTCATTATTCAGCTCATGTCAGTTCAATGATGATTCGGTTCAGCTCAGTAATCATGCAGATTTCATCAATTATAAAACAAGCTTAATCCAGCTATAAAGAAGCTCTACAAAAGTCAGTAGTCTCTTTTTTTCAGCTCCAGTCAGTTCAGTGTTGATTCAATTCATTTTAGATCAATTCAGTTGATCAATTATGAAACTAATTTGAATCATCATTAGTGATTTGTGATGACAGAATGAGAACTATACTTTTTTAGGTAGCTGAAAGCACTATCAAATTAAAAATTGTTTGTCTATGGAACTTTCCGCAGATTTCTGTGCCCTCAGATTTCCATAGAATTGGAATGTCATCAAGTTCTATTTGCTAACGCTCTTAGCTTTGAATGTCTGTCTCAGGTTGATGACACAGGAAGCTACATTGTTGTTGATGGCAGAGGAGTAAATCGCATTAAACGGTGCATCGTTTGTTTTGGTAAGCTCCAGTGCAGACATTCACATTTGATCCTTTTCACCTCTTTGAGCATCTAAACATTTAAAACTGTGAAGCACTGAAGGCTCTGTGAGAAGTGAATGGCCCTTAAGGCAGCAAGTAAGTCCCAGCCATACTGCATTCCAACAAGCTCTGTAATCTTTGATGGTGGACAAAGATAGAGAAATGTTGATTATAAAAAAAAAAAAAAGCATGTTGTAACAGATATTTGTAGGGATATTTGTTATGCTTGTTAGTGCAGCATGCCAACTTCCCACTGAGGCAGTAAAAATCGATCTATAATGGACAAACTTAGATATCTTTGTTGTAAAACCTGAATAAAAGGCCTATTTTGACCAATATTTGTGTGCATTATTAATTTTATGCTTATTGGAGTATTATGTCATTATCTTAGCAATGTCAGCAAGCCAACTTCCCAATGAAAAGTCAATCCCATAATGCACTGCAAAAAGATCATTATAAGTCCATATATGATGGTGGATGAAGTTACAGAAATGTTGATTATAAATCCTCAAAAAAGCATGTTTTGACCAATATTTGTGTATTATTTTTGTTTATGCTTATTATAGTTCATGTCATTATATAAGCAACTAAGCATGCCAACTTCCTAATGAAAAGTAAATTGTGCATTGCAGCAAGCTCAATAAAATTTAATTTATGGTGGTGACGTTACAGAATCTTAACTTCTATCTTGATTGTAAATGTTGATTGTAAAAAAATGCATGTTTTGACCAATGTTTGTGTGCATTAATATTATATTTTTATTAGTGTTATCTTTAGGGTTGCAAAGGGGTGGAAAATTTTGGGTAAGTTTCCGGAAACTTTCCAAAAATCCCTGGAATATTCCCAAAAATCCTGAAGAGTTTCCAAAATTTCTGGAATGTTTCCGAAATTTACTCGAAATTTTCCACCTTTTTGCAACCTTAGTTATCTTAGCGAAGTCCCAGTGAGGAGCTCTTTTTGTATGACACACAGTTTGTATAGACAGTTGCTGTCTATCTAGACTAGAGTGTTCCAAATCAGTCATTTATGAGGTTCCATTTCTGTTAGGGTGTGGCCTAATGTAGGCAGGTTTTGGATCTTGGGTGTCTTTAATTAAAAATTGTGTTTTTATTCTCTCTTCCCAGATCGTTGTAACCCAGACCCAGTGTGTGGTGTAATTCTGCGCCCTCAGCCCCTGCAGATGGATTTGGACCTGTCTGTGCTGCTGGATGGGTCTGATAACCTGAACACTCAACAGTATGTAAATGCGAAGGAGCTCCTGCTGTCTCTGTTGGACCAGATCGGTGTGAGCAGCGAGCCGAGCAGAGCAGACGGGGAAACCAGAGTGTCCATCTACCAGCAGAGCTCTATTTACGGCTCCTCTTACATCAACGAGGAGTTCAGCTTCACTAAATTTAAAGATCGCAATATCATGAAGAGGCATATTACTAATACAGTGAAGCAAGTGGGCGGGACATCCCATCCTGAGTTTGCTTTGGAGTGGCTAATTACTAACGTTATCCTTAAAGCAGAAAGGCCACGAAGCAAACGAATGGTCATGGCTGTTTTTGGTGAAGACTCTGAGCACAGCAAAGCGCATCTTGATTATTTATCTAGATTGTGTAAGTGCCAGAATGTTGTTATGTTTATCCTCATGGCGGGACAGAGATTCGACTGGACCCGGATGGAGGAGCTCACCAGCTCTCGTCTGGAGCAGCACCTGGTATTCCTGGATGACAGAGATTACAGCACACGCTTCGTTTACGCCTTCCTGCATATGCTCCACAGTAAGAAATATTCATGATTGTGTTTACATAAGGCCGCTGCGATACAGCTGCTTACTAACATGGTCTGTATAGTAAGTAGTATATAACCCAAAATATTATTTTTTAAATTAAATTATTATAGTTTTTTTGTTAATCTTTTTTATATTTTTAGTTTTCTATTTTTAGTTTGTTTTAGTAATTTTGATCTGTTTTTGTAATTTTGATGTCTCTTTGTGAAGTTAAAAAAAAAAATCTAATAAGTATAAGTTAAACTTTTGTCACTGCTGCATGCATATTGAGTTATGCATATTCCTTTTTTATTTTAGTTAAAGTTTTAGTATTTTTTGTTGTGTATTTTTGTCTTACAAGTATTTATTTGTTTGTTTGTTTTAATAAGTCCACACAGTTTTATTCATTTTAATTCAGTTTTAGTTTTAGTTAATTTAAGTACTTCAAGGTAAACTAAATGAGAAATGTTGCCTTGGAAACTAGCTTAAAATAATTTAAATTTTTTTATACGTTATTTTATTTCAGTTAACATTTATTTTAAGTAATAAAAAATGTTTTTAATGGTTTTATTTTTATTTTAGTTTATGTGAATAACCCTGGTGTATACCTGCTGTTTGCAGGAGGAATCTTACCCCGGTCATCAATACAGCCTCGTGACTGTCGTAGTTTTGTGTTGAGACCTGTTGAATCTGGACAAAAAACCACAGAGAGGTAATGAGATTTACCATCCACAATCGTTAGACATAAAATCACAAAGGTTAGTGCATGGGTTGTGTGTTTTCTAAACCATTTAGTTGTAGCAGCAGAAGCATTTCCTTAGCTTGCTTTTGTGTGGTGTGACAGTCGGTTAAGCTCTGGGCTCAATAATCTAAAGGTTTTAGGGTGGTCTAAAAAATTTACTTTGTTGACTTTTGAGTCTTTGCACTGTGCCAAAAATGTAGACTGTGCTTGGCCCAATATGTAGCCACTTGCATCTGTATTTACTGTTGATTCTTGCTAACCTGATTAATCAAAACATAAGAGTTTTTGTCTATGCAATAAACCTGGGCTTCTTTAACCATGTTTTGTTTTTATTTGCACATCGAAATACAAACAGATGCTGAAATATTGAACACTGTAGTGATACCAAAAATGCAGTGATATCATATGTTAGCCTCACATGGGGCACCACTAAATGTAGTGATTTTAGATTTAAGTAATACCACCAGTGTAATGGCTTTAATAATATATATTAATATTAATATTTAATTTTGGTACTATTTTACGTATTTCAAATACTATTTTACGTGGGCACCATCCAAGGAATTCCGCATTAACAATAAATACCAATCATGGAAGATTGTTGAATAAATAAGAATTACATTCTTATTTACTGTATTTTACTGCACATTTACTGTATTATCAACACAAGGAAGACACAGGTGGAATAAAAGGGGTTTTATTAACAAAGGGATAGACAAGAGTAACTAACAATTACTAAATCTTGGCTTAGCAGCAGACCACACCACTTTGAAGCCGGTAGACCACACCACTTATGAGCTAACTTGGCAACAACATCATAGCACAAGGTCGACCGCACCACTTAGAACCTAACTTGGCAACAACATCTTAGCACAAGGTCAACCGCACCACTTAGAACCTAACTTAGCAACAACATCTTAGCACAAGGTCGACCGCACCACTTAGAAATTAACTTAGCAGCAACATCATAGCACAAGGTCGACCGCACCACTTAGAACCTAACTTGGCAACAACATCTTAGCACAAGGTCAACCGCACCACTTAGAACCTAACTTAGCAACAACATCTTAGCACAAGGTCGACCGCACCACTTAGAACCTAACTTAGCAACAACATCTTAGCACAAGGTCGACCGCACCACTTAGAACCTAACTTAGCAACAACATCTTAGCACAAGGTCGACCGCACCACTTAGAACCTAACTTAGCAACAACATCTTAGCACAAGGTCGACCGCACCACTTAGAACCTAACTTAGCAACAACATCTTAGCACAAGGTCGACCGCACCACTTAGAACCTAACTTAGCAACAACATCTTAGCACAAGGTCGACCGCACCACTTAGAACCTAACTTAGAAACAACATCTTAGCACAAGGTCGACCGCACCACTTAGAACCTAACTTAGAAACAACATCTTAGCTCAAGGTCGACCACACCAAACTAACTTAGCAACAACATCTTAGAACAAGATTGACCACACCACCACATAGAACCTAACTTAGCAACAACATCTTAGCACAAGGTCGACTGCACCACTTAGAACCTAACTTAGCAACAACATCTTAGCACAAGGTCGACTGCACCACTTAGAACCTAACTTAGCAACAACATCATAGCACAAGGTCGACCGCACCACTTAGAACCTAACTTAGCAACAACATCTTAGC